ACCAAATCTAGAAATAGATCAGTAACTTGATCTGAACTAGCAATAGCATGAAAAGGAAACACTTCCTCGTGAAACACTGCATCTCGTGAAAGAAGAACTTGTTTGGTCTCCACATCATAAAATTTATAACCTTTCACACCAGCTGGATAACCAAGGAAAACACAAACTCGAGCACGAGGTTGGAACTTGGTTCGATGAGCAGCTAAGGTGGAAACAAATGCTAAACAGCCAAAAACTCAAAAATGAGTGTAATCAGGAGCTGTTTTGTATAACAAATGAAAAGGTGTGTTGTGCCTCAAAAGTGGAGAAGGAGTTTTGTTAATCAAGAAAACCGCAGTAAGAACACAATCTATCCAAAAAGAAACTGGAATCCTGGATTGAAAAAACAATGACCGAGCCACATTCAAGAGGTGTTGATGTTTTCGCTCCACAACCGAGTTTTGTTAGGGCCCGTCAACACATGAAAACTGATGCAAAACTCCCTTATCTTGGAAAAAATCAGCAAAAGATAACTCATGTACATTTTCAGATCGAAACATCTTGATTTTGGCATTAAACTGAGTTGAAGCCATGTTGAAAAACTTCGGTACCACTGAGACAGCATCAGATTTATTCCTCAACAAATAAACCCAAGTAAAACGAGTGCAATCATCAACAAGAGTCAAGAAAAATCAATGACCAATATAAGAAATAGTTTGATATGGCCCCCAAATATCACAGTGCACAAGATCAAAAGGAGATTTGGACAAATGATTATTGTATTCAAAGGACAGCCTTCTTTGCTTAGCAAGAGGACAAATATAACAAGGATTTGACTTATGTAATCTAGTCACATCACATTTCAACTGATCTTTCAAAGAATCAAGTCTCTTAAAGGAAATGTGTCCTAGCCTATTATGCCAAATATGAGTAGAAACATTATTGACAAAAGCATTGGAAATAGAATTCAAACACTGAACATTAAGAACATAGAGATCTTGGACTTTGTCACCCCTGCCAATCATCCTCTTGGTTGAAAGATCCTGGATAACAAAGCAGTCAGGAAGGAAACTCACTGTAAAACCAGAACCAATAACTAAAGCACTGACTGAGATCAAGTTGAATTTGAATTGAGGGACAAACAATACATCTTTAAGCACAAGGTCAGAATTCAGTTTAACATCACCAGCAAAATGGACCAAAATCTGAGAATAATTTGGCAAAGTAACTATGGTGTGATGAATAGAATGCAAAGAAACAAAGGCATTGGCTTGTGAACAAATATGTCGAGTAGCTCCTGAGTCTACAATCTAGAACTGATTGGATGAAATTGGAGGACTCAAAGACATAGAGAAGCAAATACCTACGAGGCAGTTAGTTTGAGAAGGATCAGGAGTATTGGTGACCTTTGCTGAGTTACTCAAATGTGTAGAAAGCATGGACATTAGCTATTGATATTGATTGGAGTTCAGATTCTGAACAAAACCTCCAAAAGAATTAGACTAATCTGGTCTATCATCAGAAGTAGAAAGTTGATGAGCAGCAGCATTAGAATTGTTGTTGGACCCGAATTTATATCCAGGAGGATATCCATGGATCTTGTAGCAACGATCCATAGTATGTCCAAGAATCTTATAATGTGTGCAATAAGGCCTATCTCTTTTCTGATTCTTAGAAGCACTGAAAGTGGAATTCTAAAAATTTTGAGAACCAGATCCACCATATTTAGCAACATGTGTTTTAACAGCAAAGGCCAGTGTGCCAGTAGAATTGCTCGAATCAGAGGAAGAATTAGTTCTCCTTTGTTGTTCCTCTTGAACAATCAGAGAGAAAACACGATTAATGGAAGGCATCGAATCCATGAGAAACAACTGACCACGAACTTGAGAGAAAGAATCATTAAGTCCCATTAAGAAGGACATTATGTACTCCATATGATGATGATCGTTAAGATTTTTAACTCCACCACAATAACAATTATGCCGGTAATTACTCAGTTCTTCCCATATAGTTTTCAACTTTGTGAAGTAAATGCTAACAAAACTCTGTTCTTGACACAAATTCATCAATTCACGTTTAAGCTGAAAAATTCTAGGTCAGTTCCTTTGTTGAAAACGATCCCTAAGATCTAGCTAAATCTCACCTGCAGAAGTAGCAAAAATAATACTGGCAGAAATTTCCCTTGAAACTGAATTCAAGATCCAAGATATAACAATATTATTATTGTGAATCTAGGAGTTGAACAGATTATCATCAGTACCTTGAGGCTCAGGAATGGAACCATCAACAAATCTCAATTTGTTCTTCACAGATAGGGCAATTAACATCACGCGACTCCAATTGGTATAATTCTCACCGGTGAGCAGCTGCGAGACGAGCACTTGCCCAGGACTATCAGAATGATGAAGATAGTAAGGATTCGAAGGTTCTTCAATGGCGGAATGATTCGAATTGGTACCCTGTCAAGAATTGGAATTACTCATCGAGGGAAGAGTCATCATATTGAAGAGAACAAGAACAATCAACGAAGGAAGAAGAAAATAAGCAAATTTGCAGCGGATCAAATCTACTCTGATACCATATTAAGCTTGAGAAAAAAAAGAGCCAAGAAGAAGAGAGAAGAAGGAAATGATTTTTATTCATTCATCGAACAGTTACAAAAGAGGAAAAAACTAATATAAATAGCAGGGAAGAAAAATTATAATCTATCTACTCTGTACAACCAATGAACAAATGACATTTGTGCAAGTCTAACAAACTCTAATCTACAATATTACACCCTAATAACAAACACATTATTCTCAACATAATAATGTAATATGAAAACTCACCCATCTAAGCGAAATCTTTCTCAAACATCAATGAGTTGAGGAGACGTGTAAAGCCCTGTTCGGAAGCCACAATGTGGCACATGCTCAATTAGATTATAGAACTGTGTTCTTATCGACAAAAAAATTAAATTACGACAATTGACGATGAGGTACATTACATGGAAGATTGCTATGCAAACAAATTGTACTGCGGCGTAATAGCTTCCTCCAAGGATAAGTTCTTAATGATATTGGTATATATACCCACCATAATTCACAGCAAGGATAAGTTCTTGATGATATTGGTATATATACCCACCATAATTCACAGCACAGAATATCAGACAGCCAAGCAACAATAGTTTTGTATACTAGCTAGAATAAGAATGAGCCGAAGATCAAATGAGGGAGGGTGTAGTCAAGATAAGATGAAGGGAGAACCAACAAAACCAAGAGAAGAGAAACTAAGTTTGAATATGGGGCGCTGCTAGCTAATGCTTGAGTTGTAGCACATAATCAACACATTTGCGAAGGCCGAAAAAAGCAATCACAGCCTCTGGTTAGGTCAATGTCACCAGGATCGTTGGTCGATTTTGTATGTGGTAGTGGTAGGCATGGGCACCAGTAGGCGATACAATACTTTCTTGGATATGCAAAGCAATGGGGGTAGACTTTCTTGGATAGTTCTTTGGGTTGTGAATCACTTTTGCATTTTTTTCCGGATTGATCTCACTATTACATGAAGTAATCTATAATTAGTCACCCTTGCATCAATTTATAATCTATATAATAAAGTAAAACAAAATTTGAAACCAAAAGACAAAGAGTGGTTCATATCGTTTTGTGATAAAATATAAACACATCTAACGAACAACGTAATCCTAACATAAAAGACAGTTCAGATCATCTCAAAAATTTTAATCTAACGGTCTACAATTAGTCCTGAATTTTTTTTTTTGCCATGAAAAAACCTCTTATCGTAAGACTCTACACTCCTATTTCTCATACGTCTCTACTTTAAACTTGAAAAAGTACAATAACAATTCAGATTGAATTCATTTTAAATTAAATGATCTAAATGTTATATGTTAAAAGATTATTATTTGTACCTTAATTTAGGTTGGTTTGTTTAATTTCTAATTTTATGATAAAACTTTGCATAAAATTAAAAATAGTTCTATTAAACACACATAAAATACATAATATTTCTAAGTATAGTCCTTCTTTTTTAAAGTTTGACAGTTTAATATTTAACCCCAATAACCGCATACGCATCGTCATTACAACACAAAAATCAGTACTCAAATTAATAATATCACCATTTTTGGACATGTAAGTTATTTAGTATATCAATTTTTTCAAAATTTTTGGTATAATATTTCATTAAAAATCATTATATACTTACTATATAATTTTTCAGCATTTTTATTACAAACTGATTCATACTTAGAGCACACTATAAGTAGATCTTTTTATCATGCATCTTAGTACCGATGGTTGATGTTTATTTCTTGCTTCTTATCAATCAATGAAGTTTAAATTATCTTTATAATCCATAAATAAAATCATCAAGTTATTATTCATACTAAAAATAAATTATTACTCTATGAAAACTTACAATTCTCAAAAAATTAAAAAAAAAATTCAAAGCCCAAGTTAATCAGCAATTATAAGAAATAAGTGACCATTACAAAAAAAATAAGATATCAATTGTACCAACAAAAAATGTTCAAAACCAATCTAATCACTATGTGTTGAAATTATTTAAACATCCTATCTTCGTGTGTTGAAATTTTATAAGTAAAATAGTGCCTTCAGGTACGGACAAATGACTAGTTATTTTATATTTGATACTCTCTTTTAAATCTGAAATGGTTTGTAAATTTTATATATCCATACATACATGCCACTTAAATATTTCCTTATTTATTTATGATAAGAATTTCAAAGCAAATCAATATGGGGCTACGGTTACTATTTGACATAAAAAATGTGTGTGATCTAGGGAACGAACCCATCCTATCGGGAATCGGTGCACCCATATTGTGGGTCATTTGAGATTGGACGATTTCTGGCAAACTCTAGGTCAGATAAGGCTCAGTTATTGTAGAAATGAAAATATGTCATAAAGATGCCTATATAGAGATACATGAAAAACAAAAGTTCATTTGAAAACAAGAATTAGTTAATGCTTGTATGAACCCTTCTTACTCTCTAGTGTCTACTAGAGATAATTGCCTTCCCTTTGGTGCCTGCCACATGGATAATCTTCATATGTGAAATAGACTCATCCAATTCCAATATCTACAATTCATGGAGTGCATAATGTAAGCTTGGATTTGCAAAAACGCTGCAGGCAGCAATGTGCACCAAAGTTTGAAAATTTCCATAGAAAAAACTACCTTGAGATAGTCCAACAGTAAATCAAAACGATCACCCATGTTGCTGTTATCCGCCCGACTACGTTTCGTACTCAGAGAAGACGGTGCCTTCATTGCCTCCTCATATGGCGACACATTAGGTTTGGATGTGCCACTTTCACCTTTACCAAAATGCAACACCAGATTCTACACTTATAAGCCTTTTGGTACGTTGAAAAATTAAAATGATAAAAAGTCAGAAGGATTAAAATTAGAGGGATAAAAAGTTTGGGGATAAATAAAATATAGGAAAAAAAATATGAAAAATGGAAAAGTAAATTTCAACTTATCAAAATTAATCCCTCTAAAATTAGAATAAAAGTGAATAGGAAGTTAATTACGTTGTTGAAATAAATCTTATTTATATATATTATTTGATATATATATATATATATATATATATATATATATATATCAATTATATATTATATATACATTAATTTTATATATAAGCACAATAGTAAAATATGTATTATATATATATATATATATATATATATATATATATATATATTTTTTTTTTTTTTAAATTATAAATTATAAAAATTAAAAAAAAAAATCTATCTAGTAAATGAAAAAAAAAATTAAGGAAAAATTTCAACTACACCTATTCTAGGGTATTATATCTTCAAAAACACCTTCCTCTGTTATTCAAACTATCGCCGATATATTTCTAGTTTATATTTAAACATCTTTGACATCTCCTATTGTTAAATCATCGTTTCTAACCAAAAAAAAAAATTAAAATACTAAAATTACCCTTACATAAACCACAAATAATATTTGATATAAAATTTAAGTCAATTAAAATTTATTTTTTTACATATTCAAATTTTAATCAATTCAAATTTATTTTTCTATATATTAAAATAAAATTTGAGTCGATTAAAATTCAATTTGAACTAATTAAATTTTATTTTTTAAGTATTAAAATTCAAGTCTATTAAAAAAATTTACATACTAAAATTAGAGCCAATTTGAACTCTACTTGAGTTGTTAGCATTAGTTAAAATTTGTTTCGAGTAGATTAAAATTTATATTTTTTCTTATTAAAATTCGATTCAAGTTGATTAAAATTTATTTTTTTTATATTAAAATTTGAGTCAATTAAAATTTATATTTTTTATGTATCAAAATTCGGACCAATTAAAATTTAATTTGAGTTGATTAAAATTTGATTCGATACGTAAAAAAATATAATTTTTATTCGACTCGAATTTTAATACATAAAAAATAATTTTAATTAACTCGAATCGAGTTTTAATCGGTCTGAATTTTAGTAAATAAAAAAAATTTAAAATAAAAGGAGTCTCATTGAAAATATGTTTATTTAAAAAGGGTGCGGATGGAATTTTTCTTAAAATATATCACGAGTAATTTGGTAAAATTATATTCTAATTAACACTTTTAATTTAATAGAGATGTCTGTGAATATTTAAAAAATAAAATAGGTGTCTTTAAAATATAAAACTAACAGATTTGAAATCTTAATCATAACTCTAAAGAAGTATTAATGAAACAATATGCAGATACATGTGTGTGTGTGTGTGTGTGTGTGTGTGTGTGGGGTCAATGGATTGAATCGAAGTGAATCGGACGAAGAAAGAAATTGAGTGTGGTACCTCCAACCATGTTGATTTGGCTATGAAGTTTAAAACCTGAATTCAACAGATTATTGAGTCAAATAAACCAAGCATATGAATCTAAACAGCGAGCGAGAGAGAGAGAGAGAGAGAGAGGGTGACCTGATGAATGAGAGAAGGTAAAAGAAAGAGAGTAGACGTTCGAAGTGGTGAGTTGGTTTTTGGTATTTATTCTGAAATGTTGCAGGCGGTGGAAGATGAAGTGGAGCAGGAGAAGTCGGTGGGAAGACAAGACGATGTAGGTTGGAAGCTAGCATTCGGAATCTTCTAATTAAAAAGTGATCAGTGGCTTGCTGTTTTAGGGTAATCAGATTCAGACGCTCATGTTTGATTTATGGGCACTCCCCCCGCATTGCTCTCATTAGTGCGGGATTAAAGTTATCGCTCGATTCGGTGTTTAAGAGCACTTGCAGTTTTTTGCCATTTAGCTGTCATTGGTGAGTTCCTTTATAGATTCAAACTCTTATGATCATCACGCCTAAGCAATGTTTCACTCTGATTGCCACCTCCAACCTTTCAGATTCTAGTTGTCAAATTTCATGTAATAATACTTGATCATCCATAATATATTAAGGGTTAATTGTAAACTACACTACAAAAGATCTATTCAATTTTAATTTGAACAGCCGTGAGTTTGCCATCTAATTGGGTAAATTATATCTAGACCTCCTCAAGTTTTTCAATTAATTACTTAGACTCTTTACATTTAGAATATTACACCGACACCTCCTAAGAATCAAAATATGACTATAAATGTTCCCTCAATTGAATATCTAAATAATTATGTTCAAATGATATATATCATTGAATATAAAAAAAAAATTATATAATACTAGTACCGTTAAACATTATATAATACCTGCACTGTATTAGGCATTCAAAGGGTAAACTTGATTTTGAACTTTAGAGTACAATGAACCCACAATACAGAGTAATATGAAAATTATAGTTGTTAATTAAGATAAAATCATGTTTTTAATGATTATATTAACGAATATTGACAACAGGAGATTATGTGTTATACGTGCATAAACGTGAGGGGTATAGGTGTAATATTTTAAATGTGAGGGGTCTAAGTGATTAAATGACAAATTTGAAGTCTAAGACTAGGTATAATTTACCCAACTAATTTTAGACAGCAAACTCACAACGGTTAGTTTCAGCTGTCAATTGATACAGATTAATATTTTTTAGAGTGTAAATTAAATTTTTTTATCTTTGAGAGTACAAATTAAAATTCAAGAGATCTTTCAAGGTACAATTTGCGATTAACCCATACATTAATATATAATTTATTTATACCCAATTAAATCTCATATTTACATTTATGATTCACGATTTATTATTAATAGAAATTAAAGAAAAGTATATCAAGTAAAATTAGATCTTTGTATCAGCATGTAGTATGATTAATAATGTGTTTTTTCTTGTTTTTGTTGTGTATGTTTAAGTAAAAGAGACATGATTCCATTCAAATCTTGGTAATTTTTTGAAATCACGAGGGTTTTGTTTATCATGAATATCTTAGTTCTAACGTGAATAACTTATATTTTATCAAATCAAATAAAAAATTAGTCGAAGTGTGTATAAACTGTCAAGTTCGGCCCCACAAGCCAATACTTTTTTTTAACACAAACTCGTATTTTTGGCCAAAAATCAAGACCATCCCAAGGATTTATTCTAATAATTAGGTAGTGTGTGTACAAAATCAGCAATAATGTACTTGCGTATCAGGGGTTAGACCGATTGTGTTGGGAACGTTGTGTTCATATTATTTATTTTTAACAAATTGCGACACGTCCCCATTGCAATTGATATGAAGTTGGACAAAAATAAATTCGAACCGATTTATGTCAAAATCATTATTCGTTCGCTATAATTTTATTTTACCCTCCGGTTGTTCAAAAGAATACCAATAATCTCTACTTTATGGAAAGCAAGCTTTTTTTTTTATCAAAAAAACCAAGCTCATTCTATTATATAAATATACTAGTTATTGCGTACCTGAAGGCACAGAGTAATATGGTAAATAATAAATATATTTATATTGATATCTAAAATTAAATCGCAAACATAGAGAAAAGATAAAATAATTTAAATATCGATTTATAGTGGAGGTGAGAGATAGTGGACGATAGTGGTGGTGGTAATAATGGAGGCGACGATGGTGATGGTGGCGATGGCGGTGGTGGAGCAACGGTGGGGGTGGGGGTGGCGGTGGTGGTGGTGGTGGTGCCGACAGTGATAATGGCGGTGGTGGCGATGGCGGTGACGGTGGTGATGGTGACAGTGGTGATGGCGGGGCAGCGACAATGGTGGTGGTGGTGGTGGTGGTGGTGGAGGTGGAGATGGAGGTGGCGGTGGTGGCAATGGTGGTGATGGAGGTGGCGGTGGTGGCAATGGTGGTGATGGTACTATTCACAGCATCAACATACCAACGTAATTGTTGAAACGATAAATTATGATCACCAAAAAGCATTCCTCTTGCCTTTTCAACACTCATCCATGCTCGATCATAAGATATTGTTAGACCATAATCCAAATTAAAATCATTGACAACTTCAACGGCCCGAGTAAAGCTCTTTTCGCGAACGTGATCAACTATTAATTCTGCAATCAGATTAGAACTGAGCCGCTTATTTTGTACTGTACGTAGAGCAGCCCCACATGTGTGTTCATCATGTAATTTTCTTATGTAGAAAATATCATTTACCTTCTGGAGAATTGCATTAATACACCACCCTACATCCAGTGGAATATTTTGAAGCACACTCGGCGATAACCCGCTCTTTACAATTCTTAGCATAATTAAATTCAAATCCAACTTCGACTGAGTATTTGCAAAGAGCATTACGAAACTGTGACATACCACCTTTAAGCTTTTGTCCCTTATGACAAATTTCATTTACCTAACCAGATGAGAGTAAAACTTTCTCACTATGCGAACTAAACCGAGGCAACAAGTCTTCCTCTTAATCAAATCTAACATCATGTAATTCAACATCTTTAATAAAATCAATATCATCAATAACAAGTGACTCGTCATCTCGCACAAGACAGTCATATCAACATACTTCACTGCGATACATCTCACCAAATCAAACATGTTCTTCATATCTATATCATTGCGCAAAATACAATTCGAATGCCTAGGGATAGAGTATTACAACCCAACAACAACATTTGTCAAACAATCCCATGTGTCACAGATCCCATGCACAACGTCTTCTAACGTTGAACCCACACAAAATCAGAGGACTGATGTCGCATTACCGAATTTGCATACCGTCATTACGGTATCCTCCATTGTTCTTCATGTTAATAATTTTAACAGGAAAAAATAAAAATCAGTCAACACAATACGAAAATACTGTGACATGAATATGAAAGATAAACACCATATGCAATTTCTATAACAATAAATTATTAAGTGAAAAAATTAGCAACATCATTCACATACTGGAATACATAGTCCCTTTGAATAAAAAAAGAACGTCAAACCAAGTTTTTCTTGGGTAAAGTTTAGTCTTCAAATCAAAGAAGTTTAACAAATGTTATTTGAAATAATTATATGAACATGCATGACACCAACTGATTCTGTAATAATTAGAAAACAGGAAAAAAAAACCAAGAGCCTGACTTGAGGACATACTAGAAAATTGATGAACCTCTTGAAGAAGACTGATGATACTTATCGGTTGCTATATGAAAAAAATAAATTTGAAAAATGAAGATATGAAAAAACAAAAATATTTACTGCCAAAAATTTTGTAATCTTTTTAAAATTCAAACGTTTGATTGCCCATTGAAATAGGAAACCACTCATTTAATAAAAACAGAAAACAAAGAAAAGAAAACTACTAGATATTGCCTAAAATAAGCAAAGGGCATTTAGGTAATACTAAAATATGAAATTATGTACCTATCCACCAAATATTTTATAGAAAATATACTTACAAACTTAAAAGTTTGGGCAATGTACTTTTCCAGGAATATTTTCAAAAAAAATTACTCTCCCACAATTTTCTCAATAAAAAATAGATAAATTGTAAAGAGGTATACCAAATTAGACTTATTTGGCAAAAAGTACACACTAAAAAATATAGGGTTATTAAGTATTTAATTTTGATACTTATTTGTATCCAAGTACATAATTTGAATTTATCTATTTTTATTATGACATTTTTGCCCTCCATTAATCCATGTGTATTTAATGCACTACTATTCTTTGGAAAGTGGTGCATTAAACATCTCCTAATTTTATAGGAGAACTTTACATGAATGCAAATTTTGAAATTCAAACAAGTATTTATATACGTGTATATACATATATATAGTTTCTACCAAGATATTCTTTTTTTCACAAAATCCATTCTTACCAGGCTCATACCAGATAAGAATGACTCATCTAAAACTCTTTACCATGCATTAACTATATGCAACATTATTTCTGTTGAGGAATGGGGTTCTCATCCATCTTTACTCCGAGATCTTCCATTTCACACCAGACAATTTAATTACTATGACTACATTGAGTCATGGTCTAAAATATTACTCTACCAGAATGAGGATTTGACTCATTCTTGGTTCTTATCTTTTCATAAAGATTTCAAGAGCCGCATTCCTGCGTAGTTTCTACAGTGGTGGCATCAACACGGCCCCATTAATGAAATCTTTCCAGCTGATCTTTTAGATCAGATTAATATCTTCTCATCTGTTTACCGTCCTAGTAAACATGAGAGCGCTGTCCCCCTTTTACTAATATTTATTTGCAGGTACAAAGTCCCATGGATTCTCAAATGGCAATGAGAAATTGTTTGATTCAATCTAGTCCGGCAATTTTATGCCAAATGGTGGCCCAGGTTCCAACAAGGCAACATTATTGCCCTGGTTCAAGAGGATTTTCCTGTCAAGGTACCAACTCTAGTAGCAGTCCCAAGTACCTTACTACCAGTCACTCCTGTTAAGGCCCAGTCTGCTCAGCAAATTAGGCCCATCCTTCCTGAAAAGGTAGCCCAGCCAGAAGAATCTTCATCTAAGGGTTCCAGTAAGAAATCCAAAAGGAAGTCTAAGGCTAAGCTCCTCCAGAAGCTCCTCCACCAGCTTAATTCAGATAGTGACTCATCAACATCTTCGCAAGGATCTGTATCAGCAGAGCTTCCCCCAGGATATGCCCAAGATCCATTTG